CTGCAGCTCCGTGCAGCGGTTCCCTTCGTGGCGCCAGCGCTGCACCGCTGCGCCCGGTCTTGACATCAGACAAGTGCAGCCCGCACGGGGCCTGGCTCTCGTCGTCTGGCCAGAACCCAGTCGGGCATGTCCCTCTACTGGAGGAGTAGTCACGAATAGTGAAAACGTAGTCATGCGACGATTTTTCGTGCTCTTTGGACTATTTCTGAATATTTGTTGATTATGTTTTAACGTTCTCCCAAAATCCGCCTGTAGGAGGATATGCCCGACCTGAATTCAAGTCGTCGTTACTTGTGGAAGCCATGCCCAGACTGTTTGCCCCCTCGCATCGTGAAGAAATCACGAGGGGAGGTTTGCGGCAATTTTCAGCCTCGCGGGGCCCTCGCCGGGCCGCGGGACGGTCAAAAGACGACTCAGGACGCGCAAACTTGTCCTGGGGAATGAGTCGAGACCTCTGGGGTAATTTTTTGAAGTAGTCCCGACGTCGGGGTCTGGGTAGCCTTGGACGAAGCAGGTCAGGCTTTGGACCAGTTGTTGTTAGTTCTTTCGCGGCCGTCGCATCAGTGACCTGGGCTCTGGGGGAGGAAAGAGAGGAGGGGAGAGAAGGAGGGGCTCCAGGTGGCTCTGGAGGGTCAGAAATTCAGGATTCTACGGGGTTCTGGATGCTCTGATAGTTTCTAGGATGACGGTGGTGATGATGCTGGTGGTGATGATGCTGATGATGATGCTGATGATGCTGATGATGCCGAGAATGCTGATGCTGCTGATGATGATGACGATGCTGCTGATGATGAATATGTTGATGATGATGCTGATGCTGCTGCTGATGATGATGATATTGGTGGTGGTGTTGGTGATGATGATGATGCTGATGATGCTGATGATGATGTTGCTGATGCTGATGATGATGATGATTCTGATGATGATGGTGATGACGATTCTGATGATGATGATGATGATGATGATGATGATGGTGATGCTGATACTGCTGCTGCTGATGAGGATGATGCTTCTGCTGATGATGATGATGATGATGATGATACTTATGATGATGATGATGATGCTGACGATGATGCTGATGATGCTGATGATTCTGATGCTGCTGCTGATGATGACGACGACGACGATGTTTATTATGATTCTGAGGCTGGTACTGCTGCTGCTGATGCTGATGCTGCTGATGATGCCGATGATGGTGGTGATGATACTGATGATGATGAGGATGCTGCTGCTGCTGCTGCTGCTGCTGATGATGATGATGATGATGATGATGATAATGACGATGATGATGATGATGATGATGATGATGATGATGATGATGATGATGATGATGATGATGATGATGATGATGCTGCTGCTGCTGCTGATGCTGATGCTGATGCTGATGCTGCTGCTGCTGATGATGATGATGCTGCTGCTGCTGATGATGATGATGATGATGGTGGTGGTGGTGGTGGTGATGATGATGATGATGATGATGATGGTGGTGGTGGTGGTGGTGGAGATGACGATGCCCGCTTTTCCGCCCCTCTCTTTCCTCCCTTCCTCCCTCCTCCTCCCCCCTCCTCCTCCGTCTCCTCCCTCCTCCTCCTCCCCCCTCCTCCTCCATCACCTCCACTATCCTCCTACTCCTCCTCCTCCATCTTACTCCTCCCCTCTCCTCCTCCTCACGCCCCCCTCCTCCTCCCTCCTCCCTCCTCTCCTCCCTCCTCCTCCCTCCTCCTCCCTCCTCCTCCCTCCTCCTTGTCCTCGTCCGTCTTATGATACAGCTGTGCGATTTGGCTGCGCAAGCTAATGTTCCGCGCGCGGGCTCGCCTGTTGCGGGTTGGTCTTCGCGTGGCTCCAGGTTTGCTTGGTGCATCGCGTTGGATACCATCTTGCGCAGGGGAGCCTGACTGTCGGATGATAGCGAAGATGGTGATGGTTATGACGATGGTTATGGTTATGACGATGGTTATGGCGGATCATGGCGACGGTCATGGTGACGATGGTTATGACATGCTGAATCTGGTATTGATGATGATGCTAATAGTACAACAATATGGATACCAGAGACAGGCCCCAAACATGATCTTTTTAGGGTTATAGGGCTATGGGGCTATAGGCTATAGGGCTGTAGGGCTATAGGTCTATAAGGCTCTGGGGCTATAGGGCTATAGGGCTATAGGGCTATAGGGCTATAGGGCTATAGGGCTATAGGGCTATAGGCCTATAGGGCTATAGGGCTATAGGGCTATAGGCCTATAGGGCTATAGGGCTATGGGCCCTAGGGCTATAGGGCTATAGGGCTATAAGGCTATAAGGCTATGAGGCCATGGGGCCATAGGGCTGTAGATCTATAGGGCTATAGGGCTATAGGGCTATAAGGTTATAAGGGTATGAGGCTATGGGGCCATAGGGCTGGGTGGCTATTGGGCTATTATGGCTATAGGGCTATATGGCTATAGGGCTATAGCACTACAGGGCTACCGGGCACCTGAGCACCCGGGCACCCGGGCACCCGGGAACCCCGGGCCCCCCAGGCACCCGGGCACCCCGACCGGCCACCGAAATCGGCGACGAACCTCACCTAGCCATATGAGTCCGCTAGGACCCCTGCAGAGGCAAGCTCTGATTGGGATGATGATGATGATGATGATGATGCTGATGCTGATGCTGATGCTGATGATGATGATGATGATGATGATGATGATGATGATGATGATGATGATGATGATGATGATGATGATGATGATGATGATGATGATGATGTTGATGACAACGACGATGAGGATGATGCTGACGATGTCTATGTCGATGTCGGAAAGAGCGTGTTCTACCGCTGCTGGCGGAAAACCGGGGGGGGTCACTACCGGTTCGAACCCCCTCCCCCCTCCCCCCCCCCCTTCGGAACACCGGGGGGGGTCACTACCAGCTCGAACCCCTCCCCCCCAGTCCATCATGAAAAGGGGGGGGGTTCACTACCGGTTCGAACCCCGCCCCCCCCTCGAAAACTGGGGGGGGTCACTACCGGTTCGAACCCCCCCCCTCCTCGAAAACCCGGGGGGGGATGCGGACAGTGGTGGGGACGGTGGTGGTGGGGATGGTGGTGGTGGGGACAGTGGTGAGGGGACAGCGGGACACTGGTGGGGACAGTGGGACAGTGGTGGGGACGCTAGTGGTGGGGACAGTGGTGAAGGCGGTGGTGAGGACAGTGGTGGGACAGTGGCACAGTTGGGAAAGTGGTGGGGACAGTGGAGACAGTGGGACAGTGATGGGGACAGTGGGGACGCTGGGACAGCACAGTGGGACAGCGGCGGGGACAGTGGGACAGTAGTGGGTACAATGGGGACAGTGGGACAGTGGTGGGGACCGTGGGGAAAGCGGGGAGAGCGGGATCGTGGTGGGACAATGGTGGGGAGAGTGGGGACATTGACACACTGGTGGGGGCACTGGTGGGGACAGCGGGGACAATGGTGGGAACAGTGGTGACAGTGGGACAGTGGTGGGGACGGTGGTGGTGGGGACGGTGGTGGTGGGGACAGTGGTGTGGGGACCGTGGGAATGTGGTGGAAACAGTGGGACAGTGGAGGGTACAGTGGTGGTGGGGACAGTGGTGAGGGCGGTGGCGAGGACGGCGGTGGGACAGGACAATGGGACAGAGGTACAGTGGGGACAGTGCTGGGGACAGTGGTGGGAACAGTGGGACAGCTCAGTGGGACAGCGGAGGAGACAGTGGCACATTAGGCACATTGGGGACAGTCGGGCAGTGGTTGGGGCCGTGGAGAAAGTGGGGAGAGTGGAACCGTGGTGGGAACAGTGGTGGGGGCAGTGGGGACAGTGCGACAGTGGTGGGGGCACTGGTGGGGACAGTAGGGACGGTGGTGGAACCAGTGGGGACAGTGGTGGTGAGGACAGTGGTGCTGGGAACAGCATGGGGGGAGGTGGTGCGGACGGTGTCAGGGACCTGGAGTCGTTTGCTGGCGGTGAGGTGGGGGGTGAGGGGTCCGAACCGGCAGTGACCACCCCCGGTTTTCGAGGGGGAGGGGGGGGGTTCGAACCGTTAGTGACCCCCCCAGTTTTCGAGGGGGGGGGGGTTCGAACCAGTAGTGACCTCCCTGGTTTCGAGGGGTGGGGAGGGGGTTCGAACCGGTTAGTGACCCCCCCGGTTTTCTGGAGGGGGGGGTTCGAACCGGTAGTGACCTTCCTCTGCTTTCTGGGGGGTGGGGGGAGGGGTTCGAACCGGTAGTGACCCCCCTCCGTTTTTCCGAGGGGGGGGGGGGGGGGGGGGGATGGGGGTGTTCGAGCCGGTAGTGACCCCCCCCGGTTTCTGGAGGGGAGGAGGGGCGGGGTAGGGGAAGGGGGGGTTGCCGGGGGAAGGGGGGGGGGGTCCCGCAGGGGGGGGGATTTTCGGAGGGGGGGGGAACCCCTGGGTTCCGGAGGAAGAGGGGGGGGGAATTTTCCACAGTAAAGCGGCGGTGGATCACGCTCTCTCCGATGCCGATGTCGATGACGATGACGATGACGATGACGATGACGATGACGATGATGATGCTGATGCTGATGCTGATTCTGATGCTGATGATGATGATGATGATGATGATGATGGTGGTGGTGGTGGTGGTGGTGGTGGTGGATGGTGGTGGTGGTGGTGATGATGATGATCTTAATGTTGCTGATGATGATGAGGAGGATGATGATGATGACGAGGAGGAGGAGGACGAGGAGGAGGAGGAGGAGGGTGAGGAGAATGAGGAGGATGAGGCTGATGATGGTGATGGTGATGGTGCCGGTGATTGTGATTATGATGGTGATGGTGATGGTGATGGAAAGAAGGACGGTGACGGCGACGTCGACGACGGCGGCGTCGGCGGCGTCGGCGACGTCGACGACGATGCGGGGAGACGGGAGTCCGTAGCCATTTTGGCTCGAGTGTTTTTGACTCAAGCCGTTTTGGCTGAGGCAATTTTTGTAGAGCCAGCTTGTCGACCGTGCGAGCTCGGCTCGGCCCTACCCGCGACATGGCCCAACGCGCCTCACTCGGGGCTGCCGCTGGCCTGGCGGCCGTCGCTTGCTTGAAGCACGGCCAATCCTTCGTGTCCTCGCAGGTTCCGCCTCGCGCCGCCTTCGAGGAGACGCTGCAGGCTTCCCCTGCGGAGGCGGCCCCCGCCCTCCGCGGCGCCGCGCACGCCCAGCAGCCCAGCCCCACGGGGGGAGCGGCAGCCCTGGCAGCGCCGGCGGCCGCCGCCGCCATCGCCGCGGCGGTCGGGTCCAAGCGCCGCGGTCGCGCCAGCAAGCTGGCGGCCGGCCAGGCCTCGTGCGTTGTTCCGGTCCATTCGCGCGCCAGCGTGGCCCGCCGGGCCCTGGACCAGTCGAGCCGCTACGCGGACCTCTCGCTGTCGGAGGAGGACCTGATCAAGAACGGCCAGCACGTGCTGGTGGCCTACATCATGAAGCCCAAGGCGGGCTACGACTACCTGGCCACTGCGGCGCACTTCGCGGCGGAGTCCTCTACAGGCACGAACGTGAATGTGTGCACCACCGACGACTTCACAAAGACTGTGGACGCGCTCGTTTACTACATCGATCCTGAGAACGAGGAGATGAAGATCGCCTACCCGACGGCTTTGTTCGACCGCAACATCACAGACGGCCGCGCGATGATGTGTTCCGTGCTGACCTTGAGCATCGGGAACAACCAGGGTATGGGCGACGTCGACTACGGGAAGATCTATGATATTTATTTTCCGCCGCAGTACCTGCGCCTGTTCGACGGGCCGTCGTGCTGCGTGATCGACATGTGGCGTATCCTTGGCCGCGGCACGGTCGGCGGTGGCCTGGTGGTCGGCACAATTATCAAGCCCAAGCTCGGCTTGCAGCCGAAGCCCTTTGGCCAGGCGTGCTATGGCTTCTGGCAGGGCGGCGACTTCATCAAGAACGATGAGCCGCAGGGCAACCAGACGTTCTGCCAGATGAACGAATGCATCCCCGAAGTCGTGAAGGCCATGCGCGCGGCCCAGGAGGAAACGGGCCAGGGCAAGTTGTTCTCCGCCAACATTACGGCGGATGACCCGAACGAGATGATCGCACGTGCCAAGTACATCTTGAACCAGATGGGCCCGATGGCGGAGAATTGCGCCTTCTTGGTCGACGGCTACGTGGCTGGCGGCACTGCGGTGACCGTTGCGCGCCGCAATTTCCCGAAGCAATTCCTGCACTACCACCGCGCTGGCCACGGCGCAGTGACCAGCCCGCAGACGCAGCGCGGGTACACCGCCTTCGTGCACACCAAGTTGTCGCGCGTCATCGGTGCCAGCGGCATCCACACGGGCACGATGAGCTTTGGCAAGATGGAGGGCGACGCTTCGGACAAGAACATCGGCTTCATGCTGCAAGATGACGTCGCCGATGGCCCCTACTACCGCCAGGAGTGGGAGGGCATGAAGCAGACCACCCCGATCATCTCGGGTGGCATGAACGCCTTGCGGCTGCCTGCGTTCTTCGAGAACCTGGGCCACTCGAACGTTATCCTGACGGCCGGCGGCGGGGCCTTCGGGCACAAGGACGGGCCGAAGCAGGGCGCGATCTCGTGCGCCCAGGGCGAGGAGTCGTGGAAGTTGTGGAAGGCAGGCACCTACGGCGACGTGAGCCTGTCGGACGGCGTCGTCGAGTACGCGAAGACGCACGAGGAGCTCAAGGGCGCGTTCTTGACGTTCCAGAAGGATGCGGACCAGATCTACCCGGGCTGGAAGGAGAAGCTCGGCTACACGGGCGAGTCCTCCGTCCAGGCAGCCAGCTTCAATTGGCAAAAGAAGGAGTTGGCCGCGGCGTTCGTTGGCGCCAGCAAGGCTCGCAAAGCGAGCTCTGTGACGCGCCGGGCCCTGGACCAGTCGAGCCGCTACGCGGACCTCTCGCTGACGGAGGAGGACCTGATCAAGAACGGCCAGCACGTGCTGGTGGCCTACATCATGAAGCCCAAGGCGGGCTACGACTACCTGGCCACTGCGGCGCACTTCGCGGCGGAGTCCTCTACAGGCACGAACGTGAACGTGTGCACCACCGACGACTTCACAAAGACTGTGGACGCGCTCGTTTACTACATCGATCCTGAGAACGAGGAGATGAAGATCGCCTACCCGACGGCTTTGTTCGACCGCAACATCACAGACGGCCGCGCGATGATGTGTTCCGTGCTGACCTTGAGCATCGGGAACAACCAGGGTATGGGCGACGTCGACTACGGGAAGATCTATGATATTTATTTTCCGCCGCAGTACCTGCGCCTGTTCGACGGGCCGTCGTGCTGCGTGATCGACATGTGGCGCATCCTGGGCCGCGGCACGGTCGGCGGTGGCCTGGTGGTCGGCACCATTATCAAGCCCAAGCTCGGCTTGCAGCCGAAGCCCTTCGGCCAGGCGTGCTATGGCTTCTGGCAGGGCGGCGACTTCATCAAGAACGATGAGCCGCAGGGCAACCAGACGTTCTGCCAGATGAACGAATGCATCCCAGAAGTCGTGAAGGCCATGCGTGCGGCCCAGGAGGAAACGGGCCAGGGCAAGTTGTTCTCCGCCAACATTACGGCGGATGACCCAAACGAGATGATCGCACGTGCCAAGTACATCTTGAACCAGATGGGCCCGATGGCGGAGAATTGCGCCTTCTTGGTCGACGGCTACGTGGCTGGCGGCACTGCGGTGACCGTTGCGCGCCGCAACTTCCCGAAGCAATTCCTGCACTACCACCGCGCTGGCCACGGTGCAGTGACCAGCCCGCAGACGCAGCGCGGGTACACCGCCTTCGTGCACACCAAGTTGTCGCGCGTCATCGGTGCCAGCGGCATCCACACGGGCACGATGAGCTTTGGCAAGATGGAGGGCGACGCTTCGGACAAGAACATCGGCTTCAGGTTGCAGGACGACGTCGCCGACGGCCCCTACTACCGCCAGGAGTGGGAGGGCATGAAGCAGACCACCCCGATCATCACGGGTGGCATGAACGCCCTGCGGCTGCCTGCATTCTTCGAGAACCTGGGGCACTCGAACGTTATCCTGACGGCCGGCGGCGGGGCTTTCGGGCACAAGGACGGGCCCAAGCAGGGCGCAATCTCGTGCGCCCAGGGCGAGGAGTCGTGGAAGTTGTGGAAGGCGGGCACTTACGGCGACGTGAGCCTGTCGGACGGCGTCGTCGAGTACGCGAAGACGCACGAAGAGCTCAAGGGCGCTTTCCTGACCTTTCAGAAGGACGCGGACCAGATCTACCCGGGCTGGAAGGAGAAGCTCGGCTACACGGGCGAGTCTTCCGTCCAGGCGGCCAGCTTCAATTGGCAGAAGAAGGATTTGGCCGCGGCGTTCGTTGGCGTCAGCACGACTCGCAAGTCGAGCTCCGTGGCCCGGCGTGCCCTGGACCAGTCGAGCCGCTACGCGGACCTCTCGCTGACGGAGGAGGACCTCATCAAAAACGGTCAGCACGTGCTGGTGGCCTACATCATGAAGCCCAAGGCGGGTTACGACTACCTGGCCACGGCTGCGCACTTCGCGGCGGAGTCCTCCACTGGCACGAACGTGAACGTGTGCACCACTGACGACTTCACCAAGACTGTGGATGCTCTCGTCTACTACATCGATCCTGAGAACGAGGAGATGAAGATCGCCTACCCGACGGCCTTGTTCGACCGCAACATCACGGATGGCCGCGCAATGATGTGTTCCGTGCTGACTCTCAGCATCGGGAACAACCAGGGTATGGGTGACGTGGACTACGGCAAGATCTACGACATCTACTTTCCGCCGCAGTACCTACGCCTGTTCGACGGGCCGTCGTGCTGCGTGATCGACATGTGGCGCATCCTGGGCCGCGGCACGGTCGGCGGTGGCCTGGTGGTCGGCACCATCATTAAGCCCAAGCTCGGCTTGCAGCCGAAGCCCTTCGGCCAGGCGTGCTATGGCTTCTGGCAGGGCGGTGACTTCATCAAGAACGACGAACCGCAGGGCAACCAGACGTTTTGCCAAATGAACGAATGCATCCCCGAAGTCGTGAAGGCCATGCGCGCGGCCCAGGAGGAAACGGGCCAGGGCAAGCTGTTCTCCGCCAACATTACGGCGGACGACCCGAACGAGATGATCGCGCGTGCCAAGTACATCTTGAATCAGATGGGCCCGATGGCGGAGAATTGCGCATTTTTGGTCGACGGATACGTGGCCGGGGGCACTGCGGTGACCGTTGCGCGCCGCAATTTCCCGAAGCAGTTTCTGCACTACCACCGCGCCGGCCACGGCGCAGTGACCAGCCCTCAGACGCAGCGTGGGTACACCGCCTTCGTGCACACCAAGCTGTCGCGCGTCATCGGTGCCAGCGGCATCCACACGGGCACGATGAGCTTTGGCAAGATGGAGGGCGATGCTTCGGACAAGAACATCGGCTTCATGCTGCAGGACGACGTCGCCGACGGCCCGTACTACCGCCAGGAGTGGGAGGGCATGAAGCAGACCACCCCGATCATCTCGGGTGGCATGAACGCCCTGCGGCTGCCTGCATTCTTCGAGAACCTGGGGCACTCGAACGTTATCCTGACGGCCGGCGGCGGGGCTTTCGGGCACAAGGACGGGCCCAAGCAGGGCGCAATCTCGTGCGCCCAGGGCGAGGAGTCGTGGAAGTTGTGGAAGGCGGGCACTTACGGCGACGTGAGCCTGTCGGACGGCGTCGTCGAGTACGCGAAGACGCACGAAGAGCTCAAGGGTGCTTTCCTGACCTTCCAGAAGGACGCGGACCAGATCTACCCGGGCTGGAAGGAGAAGCTCGGCTACACGGGCGAGTCTTCCGTCCAGGCGGCCAGCTTCAATTGGCAGAAGAAGGAGTTGAGCTGATCGTTCTCAGATCCAGTCGATGACGCAACCGTTTCACGTTTTCTGTTGGTCAGTCACATTTGATTTAAAGGTTTTAGTAATTAAATTTCGAGTGCATATTGAGCGCTCTATTTTGTCATACCGTTTTCCAATCGACCAGCTTACTTTTGGCAAGCGACTGGCTAGCACTCAAGCCGTGTCTCGTAGGGCAAGCCTTGTCACGTATGTCAGCGATCTGTGTGCAACGTGCACAGTAGTTGCGTCCTTTATCATTGTCAGGTAAGCTTTTGCACAGAATTTTTTCTGACTGCCCAGCTTCGTATTTGACGCGCCGAGTGCAAATCAGACCTCTGATGGGGCGGGCATTTGCCAGAAGAGAAAGAAAACGATGCGGGGAGACGGGAGGAGGCATGAGGAGGCAGGAGGGGGGAGGCAGAGGAGGGAGGGAAGTCTGCCCTCACACATTCAACCTCCTCGTCCCTCTCCTCTCCACCTCGTCGTGCTCCTCCTCATCCTTCTCCTCTCATCCTCCGCATGGCTCCTGCTCCTCCTCCTCCTCCTTCTCCTCCTCTTCAACTCCTGCTCCTCCTCATCCTCATTATCATTATCGTACTCGTGCTCATCATCATCATCATCATCATCATCATCATCATCATCATCATCATCATCATCAGCATCAGCATCAGCATCAGCATCAGCATCATCATCATCATCGTCATCGTCATCGTCATCGTCATCGTCATCGTCATCGTCATCGTCATCATCATCATCATCATCATCATCATCAGCATCATCATCATCACCATCATCATCATCATCACCATCATCATCATCATCATCATCATCATCATCATCATCATCATCATCAGCATTATCATCATCATGCCGCGTTTCCGAGTGTTGCGGTCTCTTGGCTTCTTCACGTTCTCCGAATGATGAATGTACATCCTGGGGTGGCTGGTTTCTTCGATGCGCTCTATCGGGATAACTCTGGTATTGTTTGCTTTGGGGGACAACGTCACCGAGCGATTCGACTGTTGCGGGGAATTCGGCAAGGGGATCCGTCTAGCATGCTGCTCTTTGCTCTGGCGCTTGACCCGTGTCTGCGATGGCTAGCCTCTCGTCTTCCTCGGCAGATTCTTGGGTATGCTGATGATCTTCGGTTTGGGCTGAGTAATGTCGTTATCGATCTTCCGATGCTTCTCCCTCACTTGCAACGTCTCGATGCCTGGATCGGACTTCGGTTGAACCTGGGGGAGTGTGTTCTTGTGCATTGTGGGTTGTCTCTTACTGCGCGAGCAAGACGACATATCACACGTATGCTTGGTCATCTCGGTGCACCTGATATCAAGCTTGTGCGGCACGCTCGATACCTTGGCATTCAGATTGGCCCAGAGGGATGGCAGCTCGCATGGAACACGGCACTTCGTAAGTGCCACCGGCGGTGTATCGAGATTCGTCGCCTTCGGGTTGGTCTTGCTATGACGATACGCATGTATGTCGTGTTCGCTGTCTCGGTATTGCGGTTCGTGATGCACTTCTACCTGGTGTCCAATGCGATTCTGCGTTGTGAGAGTAACATGCAACAGAAACTGACTGCGGGCCCACGTTTCTCCTTGAACCGAGTAACGTGTACCCGCATGAAAGACCTTGGTCTATCAGTTGAGTGTCCCGACCTTGCGGCGGTCGGGGTTGCCACTCTAGTTCGTCTTGCCCACACCTTTCGGGTCTTTGAGAAACTTCGGGCGTTCCTGACTGACCTCTGATTGCATGAAAACTTTCACCCCGCTCGTGTTGCGTCTCAGTGGTGGCAGTACACATATGTTCG